TTCTCCTCCCCCCCATCTCCACCCTCCCAGGCATCGTGTACTGCTTCTCCCGCAAGGATTCCGAGGAAGTGACCTCTGACCTGATGAGTCATGGGATTAAGGCCGGCTGTTACCACGGCGACATCGACGCCAAGTCTAGGAGTCGCGTACATCGGATGTGGTTGTCGGGGGAGATACAGGTATGTGGTTGTGCATGGCTGGTCAAATGTGTTGTGGTACATGTACAACATAGCTGAATCTTGTCCTGGATAATTGCCCGAGTCATTTGGGGGAGGGGGGTGGGGCAAAATGACCTATGGCCACATTTTGATAATTTGTTAGTTCCCCAGCTCTGCTTTCTGTCAAAAGTTGTTTTAAACTTAGAATTTTAATGAAACTATTTTTTGAAAATTTGTTTAACTATGTGTGTGTGTCTTTTTTGTAAGTGCAACCGTTTAAAAAATTTTTTTCTCAAAATACGGAAAAATAGTTTGGCTTTTATGGAAAGAGCTTGACGATTTGTTTTACTGGGTGGTTGGAGGCTGCCAGTAGACAGTCCATCTTCTTTTCTTTCCCTGTGTTGTTTCTGTCTGTCTGTCTATCTTGCTCGTAACCAGGTTTAGATGACTGTGTTTGTGTGGATATGTGCGTCTTTACTCTCACACTCCAACTGTGTTTTGTGGGTGGTTGGCGCGTGCTCTTGTGTGATCTGCTCCTTTTTTCCCCCCATCAAACATCTATCATCCTTATCTCTCCTCCTTCTTTTTCTTTGTATATTGTTCTCCAATAAGTGGGTGGTTGGCGGGTGCTCTGGTATGGTTTGCTCCTTCTTTCCTATCAAAAGTAATTAATATAGTCCTTATCTCCCCTCTTTCTGTTTTGTGTTTGTTACTCTCTTGTAACCCCTCTAATCGTCAGCACTTATATGACCTAATTGTGTTGCAAGTGCCGTAGAACTCTAACTGAAATTTTTAAAAAAATAAATCTGGCTACTCCACAGGTTGTCGTGGCAACGGTTGCGTTTGGCATGGGCATAGACAAACCTGACGTGCGGTTCGTCATCCACCACAGCATCAGCAAATCCATGGAGAATTTGTACCAGGAGAGTGGCAGGGCTGGTGAGAGTTACTTCCCCTGTAGTTACGCCGAGTCGTTTCCCTCACCGTCGAGTGGGTGGTTGGCGGGTGCTCTGGTGTGGTTTGCTTCTTCTTTCCTATCAAACATCTATCGTCTTTATCTCCCCTCCTTTTTTTTTGTTTGTCACTCTCTTGTAACACCTCTAATCTTCGGCAATTATATGAACCTTATTGTGTTGCAAGTGCCGTAAAACTCTTACTGAAACTAAACCTCACAGTCGGCAAATGTGCGATATCATAGTGAAATCGGGCGCTCGTCAAAATAACTGTCCTGAAATTGTTAACTGTCTCTTATTCCTGTCTTCTTTTCTCGTTTAGTTCTCCTTCTTGGGTCCTTTCTTTTTTCATTTCTTTTTCCTTCTTTACTTCTTTTTTTTCACATTTCCCTCTATACAATCGCCTAAATTTTTCCTGTAAACAAATTGCCAAACCACAAAACACTCAGCGGCCGCCACTCTGGCAAAATTCAAAATTTCCTACTATCTGAAAATGTTTAATGTGTCCCGCACGCTCATATGACCTTATGCAGTTGCGAGCGCCGTAAAACACTTACAGAAAAAACCCAATACAAACGAAACATTTCTCTGTTAACAAACATTTTCTCTGTGCACCAGGCCGGGATGACAAGCGGTCCGACTGCATCGTGCTGTACCGGCTAGCAGACGTGGTGAAACAGAGCTGTATGGTCTTCACAGAGCAGACGGGACTTAACAATCTACACGGCATCGTCAAATACTGCACCGACGTCAAGAGGTGGGTGTTGTTGTTGTTGTTGTTGTTGCTGTTGTTGCTGTTGTTGTTGTGTCAAATACTGCTCCGACGTCAAGAGGCAGGTGTTGTTGTTGCTGTTGCTGTTGTTGTAGTTGATTTTGTTGCTGTTGGTGTTGTTGTTGTTGTGTCAAATGATCGTTTTTCTGTAAAATCCGTGCAAGAATCTGTTTTTAGTGGACAGGATGGTGTCATCCTCTAACTCCGTAACTGTGTCATTGGTGAAAGTTGAACCTGGTGGTGGTTGGCGGATGCTCTGGTGTGGTTTGCTCCTTCTACCCTATAAACATCTGTCGTCCTTATCTCTCCTCCTTCTATTTTTGTGTTTGTTACTCTCTTATAACACCTCTAATCTTCGGCACTTATCTGACCTTATTGTGTTGCAAGTGCCATAAAACTCTTACTAGAACAAGTGCTGTAAAACACCTACTAAAACTAAAACTGAGTTGTAAATGTTGAGCCATTATTTTCCCGACCGTTGTATCTCCAGCTGCCGTCGCTCGGTCATCGCCCGGCACTTTGGTGAGGTCTGGGACAGCGGTCAGTGCGACAGGATGTGTGACCACTGCAAGATGGTGGACGCCGGGGGTACGTAGATCTACGTCTGGCCGGTTTGTTGCCCTCATCCTAACAATCTATTCTGTTTTCTCACTCACCTCTCAGAACTTCTCAAGTGTATCATGTCTGTGGTAATGTTTGCTGTTTTCTTACACACCCCTTTTTTTTTCAACATGATAATGACTTTGTACAAGACTACCACCTGTACAAGTTATGTGTGTGTGTATGTGCATGTGAATGTCTGTGTGTGTGTGTGTGTGTGTGTGTTTATGTGAGTGTGTGTGTGTGTGAGTATGCACATGGACATGACTGGTTTAGCTCCATTATTTGGCAGTTAGTTGCAACATTGCTGTTGTTATGTTGATGAGTAACGGTACTGTAAGTTATTACAGCACATTGCAGTAACGGTACCGTAAATTGTAACAGTACATTGCGGTAACAGTACAGTAAATTGTAACAGTACATTGCGGTAACAGTACAGTAAATTGTAACAGTACATTGCGGTAATGGTACAGTAAATTGTAACAGCACATTGCAGTAACAGCACAGTAAATTGTAACAGTACATTGCGGCAACTATGCAGTAGGGAGACAATTTTTAGAGGAGAAATTTTTTCGGTCTCAACCCGGATTTGCACCCGGGACCTTTGAATTAGAGGCCAACACCTTAACCTCTCGGCCACCAGAGCCCCCAGTTATAACTTTTGCTGTTGTCTCCCTGCCAGGGTCCGTGGAACAACGAGATGTGACGCGGCTGTGTGGTGACCTTCTGACCTTGCTAGACGCCGCGGCGGCCACTGACCAGCGAGTGACCTTGGCCAAGCTGATCGACGCCTGGTACGGGCGGGGAGCCTCCAGTCTCAAGGTCAGGGGATTACTTTGCTTACTTTTTCACCGACGACGAAGAGTATATGTGAGGTGTGCTGACAAAATGAGTTACTTCTCGTAATCCACAAATCGAGATATTCGCCAAATATCAAAATTAGGGTAAAATTTGTACATTTTCTATCGATGCTATATTTTTTAACTATAACCTGTATTTTATTATTTCATAATTATAAAAAGTGTAAAAACGTCACCTATAAGGGAGATGTATTTTAGTCCTTATGGCTTGAATCCGAGAAGTAACTCATTTTATCGGCATACTTCACATATGTTTGTGTCAGTAGTGAATTGAAACATATCCACTAGCTGAGAGCATATATATATAATTGTGTTAGAACTGACTTAAAACATATCCACTAGTTGAGAGTAAATATATAATTGTGTTAGAAGTGACTTAAAACATATCCACTAGTTGAGAGCGTATAATTGTGTCAATAGTGACTTAAAATCTATGTGAGGCGGCATGGTAAAATCAGGTGCTCTTCAAAATAATGAAATCGAAGAAATAGGCATTTTTCTGCATGTTTGGCCATTTTTATTGAATTTTTTTAAAAAAATTTTTTGGTGCTCAACATCTTTTATGTCCATTCAAGAACACATTTCTGTGGATTTTACTGACTAACGTACGGATAGGGTTAACTGTGTTTGGTTTAAGCAGGCTCCTCTGTATATCAGGCTAGAGTTTTGTAGTTTCATCTGACTTGCTGTGTCCATTCCATCACTGTGGGTGGTTGGCAGATGCTCTGGTGTGGTTTGCTTTTTCTTTCCTATCAAACATCTATCGTCCTTATCTCCCCTTCTGCTTTTTTATGTTTGTTACTCTCTTGTAACACCTCTAATCTTCTGGCGCTCATATGACCTTATGCTGTTGCAGCGCCGTAAAACCTCTACTAAAACTATACTAAATTCCATGACTTACTGTCCATCTGTCTTGTGCCCCCCCCCCCTTCCTTGTGTGTCGTTTCAGGTCAAGTCGGTCCCGTGTCCTGGCGTGTCACAGGACAAAGCGGAGAGAATCCTGGCACACATGTTGGTCACTGGTTATTTACGGGAGGACTTTCACTTCACCGCGTACAGCACCATCTGTTATATTGTCGCAGGTCTGTCTGTGTGTGTGTGTGTGTCTGTGTGAGTGTGTGTGTGTGTGGGGGGAGGGGGGGACTGGCACACATGCTGGTCACTGGCTACCTACGGGAGGACTTCCACTTCACTGCCGACAGCACCATCTGTTATATTGTCGCAGGTCTGTGTGTTTGTGGGTGTGTGTGTGGGGGGGTGTCTAGTACGCACATGCCAAAAACACACCTATCTAGCTAACGGATTCAATTTTTCTTATGCATACAATACACTTTGAAGTTTAAACACATATACAGCAGAATTTGTACATAGCACAAAGATTTTTGCAGCGCCCCGCAAATTTCGTCACGTGCTATGTGGTTTAGTTGACCAATTTTAACATTAAATTTTTGTTGGTGGTTGGTGGGTGCTCTGATGTGGTTTGCTTCTTCTTTCCTATCAAACGTCTATCATCTTTATCTCTCCTCCTTCTTTTTTCGTGTTTGTTACTCTCTTGTAACACCTCTAATCTTCGGCACTTATATGACTTTATCAGGTTGCAAGAGCCGTAAAACTCCTACTAAAACTAAACTAAAACAATTTTAACCTAAATTTTCCGAAATTTTCGGTATTTTCCCCCCAGGCCCAAAGGCCAAGCTGTTGCGGAACAAAGTGGCCAAAGTTGTCATGGACTTCACCAGTAAATCTGGCAAGTCGCAGCAGACCAAGGGAGCGGCCACATCTTCATCGTCTTCCTCTTCATCATCGTCGTTATCATCACCCGTGTCTGTCTCGTCTTCTTCATCGTCATCCATGCTGACCAACAGCTGTGAGAAAAGCTCATCTGGTCAGAAAGAGAAAGAGAAAAAGCCGGCTCTAGTCGTCACCAGCAAACAGAAATCTCATCCCTCCCCCGCACCCTCCGGCTCCAACACCACCCCTTCGACAGCTCTCCCCCCCAAACCCTCACAAACTACACCGCAAGATTCGGAGAATCCTCGCCCTACTTCAGACAAACACACAGATGCAACAGACAAACGTACAAATGCCGAGACGTCGGGGGAGAAAAACAGAAAACGAACAGCCGTTGACTCCCCGAGCGAGCGCTGGTCAAACGATGATGACCGCGACCAACACTTCGACGTTGATGATTCCGACGATGACTTTGGCAAAACTTTCGTCAGTAAGAACAGTTCCGGAAGGAAAACAAACGGCGCCAAAGCTAAAGCTAAAAGTGTCACTGGCAAAACAAGCAGTGGCAGCGCCAAAACGAACAACGCCAATACCAAAATGAACAATGCCAAAGCCAGAACGAAGAACGCCAGCACTAAAACGAACAGTGGCGACGCCAAAACAGATGGCGCCAAAATAAACAGCACCAGGACAAACGGCACCGACGCCACTGATGCTGAAAAAGAAGAGAGAAAAAGAAAGAAGGAATCGAACCCCGTACCCTCCAGGAAAAAAGCGTATGTAATCAGCGACAGTTCTGACGAGGACGAGAAAGAGGTCACTGAGTGCACGCCCATAAAGAAAGCAAGGTCAGGGTCAGGTACAGGGTCAGGGTTAGGGTTTGTCAAAGTCGAAGAAAACGGGAAAAATTCCTCTGTGGTAATCAGTGATGACGACGACGATGATGACTTTGAGCGTATGTGACCTTGTGTGACCCTGAGTGACGACAAATGGGGAGGACCTGGAAAACGGCGTAACTCACAATGTTCCATTTTTGGTTTTTTTGGTTGGAGTTATTGTTGTTTAGCCAGTTATTCCATTTTGTCCATCAGTAGCAGACAGCTGGTGGAGTGGTGTGTGCACAGCATTAGTCAGAAACAGCTGTAGTTTTATACGGGGTGGGGGTGGGGTAGAGGGTCACTCACAGTG